AGTTAGTACCGTGTTCATTTGTAAGAAACAATCATGTTTTCGTTTTATTTTGTGTTGTCTTTGAGCAACAGCGTCAGCAAGAAGGTTTTTGTTTTTTCCCTCCACGTCCCTACCGGGAAAGAAACATTTCGAAATTTGAACGTGTTCTGAAATGGCCGGCCTATTTGGAATTCGAACAGGTTGCCAAACCGTCGATCCGCTCATGTCATGAGATTTCGGGATACGGCTACCCGTTTTCTACCGAAAACGTTTGATAAGGGTCCCAAGGAGACAGGCGCTCGTTCGATTCCGGCACACATTGAATACGATACCCTTTTGAGGGTAATCTTTAGTTAGCCCCCACTGGGTACAGTGTGAAAGGTGTAGACGTAGTACACGCAAAAAACTCCACCCTTGACGCGTCCTTCGGGGAACAAATTCATTATTGTTAAAATGTATGTATTGAAAATAAGACTATTCTATTCTATTCTATTGTATTAGAGCTCGTGACGTACCTCTGGCGAGAAGGGAAGTCACAGCACATTGATAGAGTTCGTTGTCGAAGAGAGACAGCCCTTAGCACTCCGTGGATCACAACATATAGGTTAAAAAGTCCAAAGTGCAAAATGGTACAGTTGAAGTGTGGCCGAGGCTTGAAGGTATAAATGAGATTAGAACTCCTAGACGCGGCCAATGACAACCTGCAATCTCGCTGCTTTATTGAAGCTTGCGCTGCGTCCAGGTTGGTTATCTCCCGTACACGACCGACGAACACTCACAGTTCCGCTGCTGATTCGTGGCTTGCGCCACGTCCACATTGGTTTTCTTTCTTCGTCTCCTGGGTGCTCCTCTTCCGGCAGTGATTGCCCCTCGTCGACCACACACGTCGTCTGTCTGCTTCCTTGACAAAATGACTCTTTGTCTTCCCTTCCCGAAGATCTCCTCGGAGCTCCCAAGATAAGATTCACCCAACGTTGAAAGTTCAACGAAATCAAGCCCCGCCTTCGCTCTCTCTCTCTCTCTCTCTCCAAACCAGCCCGCCACGCCGCTGTCCAGTGATAACAGGTTCGCATACCTGTACGGTCAAATATTTAAACCGTTTGACTGACAGCTTAGTAGTTTGACCAAACCTGTGAGCAGTTCCAAATCTGGCCTCCACGCCGCAGTACGATTTGAACAGGTCAGCGAGACGCTACCCCAAAACCTGTGAACTGTCTGACTAGGGCGATGGTCAGTTGGATCGAACCGGTTCGTAGTTAGGCTCTACTGCTAAAGGACGCTATGAACCTGTTTCAATTTCATATATGTTTCTTTTTCATTTGGGGTGCATAAGTCAAAACTAGGTTTTTAGAAATAATTTCCTGAAACCTACATGAATAAAATTTGAGAATGATAAACGCACTTCACAAGGACACCTTTTTGTAACGCTTTAATGTACTCTGCTCATTCATATATTTATACGCTTTTTTACGCCCGAATGGCGACTGAAATCAAGCAGTAAATTGAACTAGTTTCTGAACAGTGGTTCGGCCGAACTCTTTTTGTTTCCGATTTGGCTCACTTCTCATTTCACTCAAGAAACGCGTTTCAGTGTGTGAACAAACATTTAATCAATAGCAAGATATGACCTTGGCGGGTCTTACTTTAAATCCTTTATAGGCGTATGGACAGTTTATATTCCCATAATATAACCCTGGAGGTTGGCAGCTCCACGGAAAGGTTAGGCCCGCATCTAAGGCTTGTGGTGTCCCATTAATACAAAAAAAAAAAAGAACTCTTCTAAACTAAAAACAAAAACACTCACACATAAAATGAATATTTTTCGTGGTTCTGGGATCAAGCAATGAGACGTCCGTTTGCGGTTCGGCTTTTTAGTTCAAAACTGACCGCCACCGGCACGAGCCGGTGCTTCGTGCCCGTGGCGCCAAGACTGCACGTCGTTTTCTTCATCGTAGCAATATATGCAAAAGAAAGGAAAAAAACAAGAAGTGGGGTCCATTGTCCCTCAAGGAAGCGTGATTCTCCGCTGCACCAAGCTTTTGAGGTGTTGCTGCTCTATGGGGAGTGCACTCCGTCATGTCCTTCGGTAGAGAGCGCCAGAGCGCCGCAGTTCTCATTAAAACGAGTTCCTGTGCCACTCGGTACGCCAGAAGAGTCGCTGCAGGCCACAGGACCTGGTTTGGCGAAGATGCTGCAGTAGCGGGAGCTCGGAGTTCCTCTAAGAGACGCGTTTTTTTTTTCGAGCGGAGGGTTTCCACTACTTGACGATGTGTCGGAGAGGTCAATCCCAACACTCTCAAGAGCTCTTTTGCAGGAAGGTCACGGTAGCCTGTTAGACTGTAAGGCAAGGGGAGGCATGGTGTCTTCGATCCGCATAAGCAGAGCGTCGTTGCACACTTTCGAGGGATGCTGATAGCGAGAGTTGGTAGGGGTCCCGAACCACGGCACACAACTCCAGCCTTGGTAGGACTGCTGTAGTGAATAGGTGTCGCAGAGCAGTATCGCCAGTTCCCCGGGTAACCCGAAGCAGAAAACCAAGCATCCGCCTGACACCGAAAGCCGCCTCACCAATGTGAGCTAAGAAATTTAATTTAGGGTCTATTATCATTCAAACGAGCCTTGCGCGATCGATAGGAGGGAGTGCTGGTTCGTTGAGCTCGAGACTGCTGAACGGTAACACGGCTTCTGGACGTAATATTTAGGGTTGATGTGTACTTGCTGTAAAGTAGGGGAACATTGTTGTTTGTGAACCAAACGCGGACAACGTACAGAAGATCCTAAAGTTTTTGGTGCTGGAAGTAGTGCTGGACTGGCTGGATAATAATGAGTTCATCGGCGCACAGACGGGGCATGCAATGCTACGAGGACGTTAAGTCATTAAAAAAGGTGTCGAACAAAGGTGGCCCAAGAAAATTTCCTTGAGGGATTCCCGAAAGGAGACGTTTAGCGCTTGACACTGGTTCTCTAAAGGCAACTCTTTGGAGACGATGTTGTGGAAAGACTGATATCCAATTCTCACGACAGCCGTACTGTCAAGATGAGAGAAGTTTTTGCTGCTCGATGCGCGCCAGGAATTCGTGTTTTGTGGAGGATTCGTTTTATTGTTCTGCAGATGACGGATGTTGTCAAAATGGGCCGGTATGCGGCAGCTGATGATGTCGGGGAACTATTATCTTTATAAACCGGCGTGACCCGAGTCAGTCTACACCGGTAGGGGGCTGCCAGCCTGTAGAACGTTGGTGAAAAGACTAGGGAAAACCATGCTGAAACGTATGAGCAGGGCCAAAATAGGATGAAGGCCGTTGGGGCCGCCACTTTGGAGTGGAAAGATGAGAGATGTGCGGAGGATGCCGGGCACAGTCCCGGCAAAAAAGAATTGGTCCATAAAAGGTCCTCTCTGGCTTAGTAGCTTTGTAGGGTGTCTCAGTCAACCACAGACTACAAGGAGGACAATGAATTACCGCGATGTTTGACATACGATCAGGACACGTCCATACATTTTACCGCTTTTGCGTGATTGTGCTCACGCAGGAGCTATATGAGGTCCGTCTGGGCCTTTCATGCTTAACTAAGGTAGCGTCAGTTGTATGTATTGTTGGCTTTTTTAAACAAATTTTCTCCTGTGGGGAAAGCTGCAGGATGCTCTTGGTCATTCAAGGAGCCTCTGCTGTACACTGGGAGTTTTTAAGGGTACACAATTAATCTTAATTGCAACTTCTTTGTGTAGCGAGATGTTATACACATGAATGAATTACGAGTTCATGTTTGGTTTACATACAATAAACTATACTAAACTTAAAAGGTAGGTAGAGGTGACGCTGGCTAAAGATTTGTACCAAAAATATGTTACATGAAACAATGTCACTGTCACTCCCATCTTGCAGGTGTGGCCCAAGGCCAGTACGATGTCCAAGGTTTCGTGAAAGGTAAGTTTAACCGGTTCGGGAAAAGAGGTTGTACAAACCAAAAACTTGAAACAGAGATGGGCTCGTTCCAAGGGAGTGCGCTATCCGCCCGGCATTTTTTTTTTTGTTTTCTTCAAGTGGCATGTAATCTATATATGTTCTAACCTTGTAACCGTTCACTAGCAACGGAAACTTCTCGAACATACAAACATTTGAACCCTTTGGGATATCTCACGTATTATTCTACTCCGGAAACCACCTTGCTTAGAATTCATGGAAGATTACGTTTTCTTTTATATTTGACGAGTGCAACTTGATCGTCGTCACAGAGAGGTAAACTTGCAACAACGCACTAAGTAAAATACATCAGCAATTGTAAGTGCTGTAACATTTTTATAGAAATTTAATATATGAAAGAACATTCAGGTTTGAGTTTTGCAGTTTGGTAGCGCTTTTTGTGTCCTCGTTCATAAAATATGTTACAAATTGAACGTATTAGAAAATTAAGTGTGAAAAACTACCAGGCCGAAAATGTGGCACTCTACATGATAAAACTTGGACCGGGAACAAATAATATTTGAACAACCAGTGTAACTTTTCTACTGAAAAGCACTTACAAAATAGTTCAGCTAAGTGTTACAAACGCTACTTGTACTTTATAAAGCACCTGAATCATTTCATGGGCATCCTTGCCGCCTCTTACAGGGGCTCGTCGGAAATAGTTCGTGCTACCGAATAGAACATAACCTGTTTCTTTTTTTTTTCTTCTTTTATTTGCAAACCCTTTTTGTTCTTTAAGCCAGAACCGCGAATAACCCATAGAAGTGTAAAATTCAATTAGCGGTGATGTTTTTATATTGCGGTTAAAAATAACTCCCTCTCCAAGGAAAATATTTGAATGAGTTAGAATAGGAGGATTTAAGTAGAAAGGAAATAAATATCGCATGTTGCTGCCATTCAAAATTTAAACGTTATATGTGCATTAATGATACCTGCTATGACTTTTTCGTTTGATATATTTTTTAAGGAAATTCGATGGCCAGGTCTTTGTATATTGCGCGATCATTAAAACTAAAGCATTGAAACATTTTTTTTAATATGCCTTCCCAGATGCTGTCCCGGCCAAGAATGTTAGCGCGAAAGGTAAGCTTGCTGGTGAACACAATCGCTTAGTATCACTTCTTGAGTCTGATGCGAATCTCATTGAAATAATAATTTATACTAAATCGGTCTATGTTACAAATATAGGTTAAGACTGCCACACAAAAAAAAAATCATAAAGAGCGAGCAAACGAAAAAAAAAATGGATTGTCATCTACATTTTGACGCCAGAAAAGCAGAATGCACTGCGCGTAACTTACATATAGCGACAAAAGTGATTTGAAGTTTCAATCATAAGTGTTTTGTGCAAAGCACTGCTAAACACAAAAATATGTTTCGCTGAAGTTCGGGCAGTGTAGAGGCACGCACGAAATACAACTTATGTATTCAATTAAAATTAGATCTACGAACTCGGTCATGGTTTGATCACAAATCTTTGTTGACATCACAAATTTTGCTTTAAACGATTTCTGGTGGTTTGAAATTTAAAATTACGAATATATAATTTTTTATTTGCAGGTCAAGACCTACTCTTTCGTGTGGAATACATCAAAGGTAAGTAAGAACCAATACACAGCAGAAAAACCGTTCATAGTTGTTCGAAACTTGGTATGCTAGAACAAAGTTACCAAAGATAAGTCGCACTTGTCAGCCTTTTGCGCTGGCCTTTCTTTCGAGTCGTGTACAGACATAAAATAAGTTACTCCCGAACATGGTACAAACAAAAATACACAAATACTGCAACAACAAACGTTGGAATTTTATTTCTGGAAGTTCGTTTTCTACAAGAAAAATGATGCGTTTCAGACGCAATATTTGTAACTTGTTTTTATAAACGCATCGTTTCCTTCCTCTTTCAGGAAAACTGTATGCCGGCATTAATGACCTTGGTGAGTGACGGATTTATCATAACTTTTACTAGAATACAAATTTTACTTTTTTATTTTGTTGCTGTGTATAAATTAGTTTACCATAGTGTTAACACATTAGAATGAGCCATATCTAACCCGTTTGGCTCTGCATTTTACCGCAAATCACAAATAGTGGTGCTAATATTATGTTGCTGGACAACTAAAAAATATTGTAATTATTCTTTCGTTAATTTAGTTTCGTACATTCCTTTCGAAAATATTTTCAATCTCTACATAAAGCCTTATATTCGAGCACAGGATATGACGCTAACCAGGATCTTTATGCAGTTGCTAATAAAATGCACTATTCGAAAAATTTACAAGGTTGCATTGACACCGTACTTTCAGAGTGTAAACTACATAAATATATTGTATATTGTTTATTATCATAAATATTTTGTATTAAAACTATTACCATCGAATACTATTTGAAAGATCTTGAACTACTGTGCACACATTCTTTCAGTACCTCGAATTTGAGTAGTGCTTAATATTTGTAAAGTATGGTACTGCTGCATGAAATATTTTTGCTTCACGCAGGAGCAGATATTGCATAAAAAGGGCGAAATATTATAATGATTGAAAAAAAACACATGAGTTTTACTTGTTTGATTTGTGTCTGAAAATAAAGATGATGATTATTATTAAAAGTAATAAAATTATTATTTTTTAACAAACAAATTTATTTGATTTGAATCAAATTTACTTGATTTAAAATAGATTAATTTAAGATAAATATCAATAGCTAGAGAAAAAGTGATTCGCTAAAAGTAGATATTTCTCAACATGGCAGATATATTGATCGATTCGTCCATCACTGGAAACGATGCAGAAAAACGAATGATTGAAAATGGAATGTTCAATTTAATTAGAATTTTAATAATGTAATCCATGCAATCGAGAACAAAAATCGCTTGATATTGTTAATTATAAAACAATATTTATTGGGTTATCCTTTCGCATTCTCAAGTCATTTCAATAAAACTTTACTTTTCCGGTTTTCGCTTCTTTATTTTGCGTTTTGATTTTGTTGAAGTAGGATGGAACGTAGCTGACGAATGGAGGTGAAGTTAGAATTCAAACTTATCGCTCAATTTGCTCAGAAGAGCCCTTAATTTTGCTCGTGTTCCGCCTGATAGGAGTATCTCTGTCTTGATCATTCTTTATTTGAAACACAAAGAAATGCTCAGAGGAAGCATCAAAAGATGGAGAAGCGGTAAATTAACAATATTGGCGGAATTATTCTGGTGGCATAAGTTTGATTTATTTCATCATAGTGAAACTGCTTTGGTGGAAATCACGAATTAAATTTTACAAATTTACAAAAATATTTCAAAAAACGGGAGACGTCATAATCAAAATAAAAGCAGCGACTTGACGCATCAGAAAGAAAAAATAATTAAACGTTTCGCCTCCCATGCCGGAAGCGTTTTCATTAATTTTAAAGCAAACGCAAGGATGAACCACAAGTCGACGCTATTTATCAGGAACGCCAGGGTCGCGGTTTTTGTTGCACACGGATTTGTCCCTGCGGATGAACCACGATTCTAGAAGTTTTCGGGGCCCCCACCTTACCTCCATCGCCATTGTTGTGGCGGCCGCAAAGTCAAGGGACTGACCTATTGTCCACCCATGGTCCAATAGTTCACTTTTCAGTCGCGTCACGTGGGATGCGTACGTGACGTCAGGATTGTGTTCTTTGAGTCTGATCTCTCGTGCGTCCATTTCACCAATGTAGGTCGCCAGGCAGTCACTCACTACAAGGGATCTTGTAGATAACGTTCAGAGAGGCATTATTTACAAAGTCACCTGCAGTGACTGCCCGGCGTCCTACATTGGCGAAACCGGACGGAAGTGAGAGACTAGACTCAAAAAACACAATCGTGACGTCACGCACGCGTCCCACGCTACACGACCGAAGACTGAACTAGTGGGCAATGCCTCGACAATAGGTCATGTCTTTGATGGATCATTAAGTATTTTAATTTAATTTATTATTTTTTATGGTTCTTCCAAACGTAAGAACCGAGGTTTTCAATTTCTTTTAGAGGTAGAATGGACAGAGGTAGGTCAATGTCGATGCTTAGCGGGAAAGAAGAACACGCATGAAAATATATTTTCACAAAAACTGAAAACAAATGAACACAAAAATTAGAGTGTTTACTTGCAATAGACTACTTCCATAAAGCCCTGCATGCAACATGGCGCGCGTTGCACTCTGGGAACTAGTTGGCCAGGGAGGAGAGTGGCATGGTTTCGGTTTCGATCGACACGTCGACAAGAGATGATACACAGAGCGTGGACTATTAACGGCCGTTATCTCATGTTTTCTGGTCCCGAGAGCGTCATTTGTTGTCTCTAAACTGACCTAAATGGCCAGATCTCGAAGCTTTAGCACAAGTCCGAGGCGTATAGCTTGGCTTAACATATGCTTGTTGTATTTTTGTACATGAGCCTTTATGTTAGCGTTTCGAGGCATGTGAACGAACCAGTGCTGGGAATCTCGACGCCGCGAAGCTCGGGGATCTTGCTTGTGTACGAGCCAACAAGCTGTAGCAACCAATAAGTATGGAATAAGCTCGCGCCTTTACATTAGTGTTGTTGATCAGGAAGTTTGTTTGTTTCGTGCCTTCATAGACGAAATATAACTTTTTGCAATTACTGCTTTTCTTGATACGCCTCAAATTTAACACTTGTTATCTCTTATCTGTACTGACCCGCAGCACTGCACGAAGTGAAGTCCCCACCCGCTTGCGTTCCACTAATATTCAACATCGTGTATCCGCATAAAGTTATCCTGCACTCATATAGGCACATTCGCACATACAAACCGTTTTAAGAAAGCAAATGTCGAGCACTTGTTTGAAGAACTCGCACCGTTCGCTGGAAGTGCGCCGGACGGGCATGAACCCCTCCCTATGCAGTGCGCCAAACGAACGAAATCATTCAAAGCGCATTTGACGGTTGCTAATGGCCATAATATTTGTTATGTGTTTGCTTCCTTCCTGACTGAGTATGTCGAGATAATTTCACACACACCGTTCAGGTACAGATCTTGAGCGTCAGTAAAAGCTCGTCCAAAAAGTCTTAGCTAGGAGTAAGGGACGCTTGTTAGGGCCTCTGTCGTACTAGCCGATCTCAGCGTTTGCGAAAACTTAATCTTCTATCAGCATAAAATTGGAGTCGGAGATTTATGATGACACGAGCAAGACATCATAGTAACTTTTGTGCAGTAGTGAGGTCGAATTTATTGCGTTTTCTTAAAAGTTTATGCGTCAACGCTGGGCTCAGCTTTGATACTCCTCTGAGGATGCGGCTTGGTTTTCGCCCAATGAAGTAACAAGAAGCGGACATGTGGCAAACAAAATACGTGTAAGGCTCAAGGTGACCAAATTTCAGTTGTAGTTCACTGGTACTAGACGGGATTATTGAAATCCGAGCTCAAAGATGCACTCGTGGGGTGAGGTGACTGGGCGACGTCTTACTACGTTTGCATACGCACTCAAAATATCCGGTGTTTCGGGAACCAAGGAAAGTGCCCCGGTCTTCGTTTTGTATCGCTCGAGGATGAGTGTATTGTACATTCGTAAAAAGTCAGATAATCAAAAACGCAAGCAGCGCGTTCGGTCGCGGCGTGATAGCATGAGATGAATAAGCTGCTCAATCGAAACCAAAACTGAGTGGCCAACCAGTTCCCAGAGTGCACTGCGTGGTATTTCGCCGCGATGGGGCACGTCGGTTTTGGAAGAAGTCCATTCTTGAAGACGGCCGTGATTGGAAGTTTGCTCCCAAAAATAATATTGTTTTACTTTACCACCTCCCTATTTGCAGGGAGTTTTGAAAATATTTGAGGAAATATGTCCAATGTAATATTTTCACCCGGATAAAAAAAAATATGGCCATAATGTATATATTAAATTGCACACAAAATTGAGGTGCAACAAAACCGCATCTTCAACTTTAAATTATATATATAATTGTGTTTACTCCTTTTCATGAAGACCTTTCAAACTGCAATTGCTACGGCCTGAGCGTACTAATCAGACCAACGTAGCAAAGCATCTGACAGCGTCGTAGTAACGTCGGGTGGGTAAATTAACAAGAAAACAAGGTACCTCGTAATCACTGACATCGGTGGTTCTGACAGAAAGAAAGAAAGCGAAAAATAATGAAAAGTAGAGTTTATGAAGCGAATACGCAGCGAACACGCGGCAAACATCGCCCGTCGGCGCCTGCTCCGCGCCATGCCACTGGTATACCTGCCCGCTCACAGAACGAGCGTCCCTCAGTGCTAAGTTGGTCGGTCTTTAACTGCGTATTCACTAAAAAAAATGTACGCCTTTCTTCGTTTTCTTTTTTTTTTTTCTTTTTTGCGGCGACGCGTTGAAGTTATGTCATTAATAATGTTTGTGCTCCGTGGTCTTCGGCCTTCGTCAGATGAAGCTGTAGAAAAGTATTGTGAATCACAATACTTTTAAATTCACCTATTGTCTTGTGCTATCTGGTATATCTCCAAGCACTATATTAAGTTATAATGCATGAACATCTCTATGTTACAGGTGACGTGTACGATGAAATTAAAGCTCTTTTCACCAAGCGTAAGTTACTCTTTAAAGAAGCTCAAGTTGTTCGCTTGTATCTTCGGCTTAGCTTCAACGGCACAGCAGGCCTACATTGGTATGGGCTCCTGCCCTTCTGCTGCATCGTGGCTTTCCTGAGCCGAAATAAATAATAATATTATTATTATTGTCATTATCCTCTATCTTCATACCGAACAGCATTTTCTTTTAGATATTTTGTATGCCAGGCATGTATTGAAACAAACAAGTTTAAACTTTTAGACTATTGTTTCGAGTCTTTAATCTCTTTTTTTTTAAATGAAGAGGATCATAATTATCTTACCACGAATTGATAGAATAATCTAGATGTAGAAAATGTTCTTCAGAACGAGACGTTTATATGAAGATGTAGAAAGTCATAACCTAAAAAATGAACCTCCTTGACTTTACAGAGGGTGTTGACTTCCAGAACAGCGTCCAGAACACTGGTAAGGAATATTATATATCCTTAGAACCGAGAGCTTACGTTATATTATCTCAGCTTACTCTCAGCGAAGACAGAATGCTAGCACCTACATACCAGCATAAAGGAAAACTGAACCAATACTCGGTGTCCACAAAACAACGCTGAAACGATAGGTGGGACGCTGTGAATACTGATATTGCAACATAAATATTAAAAATATAAGGAAAAGATCTACTTTAAAAGTTTTTGCTTGATTTTTTTTCTTTACCGTAACGGTAGGCCCATCGCCTAATATCCGCTGAGCGTGTTAAATACAAATTATAAAGACGGCGCCCCTGTAACCCTCACCCGGTTGTTTTATAAAATTTTGTAAAAAAACATTAGAGAATGTTAAATAGTTTAAGAAAATGTTTCGTTACATGTAAGGTAAAACTCAATTGTAAACTAGGCCTGTCGAATCGGGCGTAGAGCAGTAATAGTATCTAAGATTGTGAAATATATTGAAAAGTAAATAGCTTTTTACCACTTTTTTACATGAATTAGTTAAAGCAAGATGGTTAATATAAGAGAACAGGTACAAGACATAAATCTGCAATCTTTATCAGCGCACCATCACAGGAGAGATAATTGAAATTTACGTTGAAAGAAAACGTGAAACGCGAAACCGATATTATACATTGAATTCAATCCTGTTGATGCTTATTGTTTTTCTTGATTTTGAAATACTTGTCACAATCATGGGTCCCTACATTTAACATTTATACTCAAAAACGTTAGGTAACAATGTTATCCGAATTGTTGTAAAGCTGACAAATAATAATATTTGTATTTTAAACCTGTTTGAGCTAATGTATCACAATATGCTGAAAAATATCTGTGTAGAGGTGTCTGATCCACCACATGAATCTAATATGATCTCCCCCACAAATATATTTGAGTGTTTTAATGGAGGTTAATAAATTACCTATAATTCAGCTCCTAATATAACTTATGCAGGGCTTGCCGCTTCGTCAAATTGCCTTCATTCTCTTTCCCCCGCACAGGAACAAAGTTGATGGAAACAGTGAAAGGCACCATCGGTATGACTCATCGTTTTATGCGCCACATATTTATGTCCGCCCACCGTTTACCCTTGCACGTGTTATAATGATACCACAATCGTGATGGGAGGACACCTATGGCGGTAATTTATACAAACAAGCCGTTACTAAGCAGGAGGTTCCAGGATGGTTATATTCATCTGCTAAATAAAGACTACACCTTAAATTTCCTCATAACCTGGTGTGCCAAAGCCAGTTTGAGAAAATCATCCCTCAACCTGCTGTTTAAGAAACAGGTAATGAAATGGGCAATCTATGCATGTAACGTGAAAATTCGAAAAGTAGATTTTTTTAAATCAAACTTTGAATTACAGTGTTACAATGATGCACATTTATTGCATTCAAAATTTTTCTCCCAAAAGTTTGTAAACGGGGCTGTACTTCTCAGATGCTCCGTTACAAAACACATCACAATTTGAATGTTTTGCTTGTCTTTTATAATGCCTATAATGTGCGCATTCAATTTCTATGAAAGAAAAACAACAAATCCCGCACATTTTATGTCCGGCTTTGTAAGGTCCACCGGCATCATTTTGGTACGTCGAGCATGGTCATGCTCAGCACGTCGCTGCTTATTTTCAGCTGTCTCCTCTTCACCCCTTTTGCTTCCGTTTGCGAGGCATTGTGCAGGCTGCACATCCAGTGAGAGCTTGATCCCATGGAACACGGGTTTAAGTGATAAGGATAGGAAGAGCGTTCCTGTGCCAAAATCTCCCGTGCATGCTCATCCGTTTTGAAGGGACGACTGGAAATTTTCAGGGGGTGACTTAGAGAAATGTACCACTGAGTTCAATACATAAGTATGAACTAACTGTTAAACCAAACTAAAGTTTTTGCAATAATGCTGTGCCCAGTATAATGTATTTGCCTTAAATGTTTCTACCTAATTACCTTAACAGCATATCAAATTGCTTGTTACTATCAGTTCTAATGGACGCATATATCTTTTTTTTTGCTTTGCAGCAAACGTCAACGTGGGAAAAAGCGATCTTGGTTAGTAATTAATATCAGAGTTTCAGCTCTTGGAAATAGTTTGCACCTTAACTTTAACAAGATCCTTTCATCAACCAACTTCCCTTCCCTTCATAACCTTGTGAAAATAGATCATGTTCTGAATATTATTTTAAATTACGATAAAAGACAATACTGTTGTGGCGTCGCCACAGAGAACTCCCTATATTCATTTTATTTTTGTGCCCATAAATCATCAAAGTATAAAAATCAAACGTTCACGGCATTATACAATCTCATCAATTTGCATGCACCATTTTGCGCCATAAATATACACACTGAAGTTATGCTTAGCAAAGCACTACGTACAGAACCCACAAAAACTACATCAAGGTTAAGCTGAGCCCCGCGCTAATTACTACACCTCATTTTTCCATTTTGGTTTATGGGCTTGAGCTGCATGAGAGCAAAAATGTTTGTTTATCTGACAAACCTATTCAGCTAACATGAAAACGCTTCGTAGATGACCGAATATATACGATGAAAATGTCGCCGCTGCAGGTTTATATCTCTCCTCATACATCAACCTAAAGTTTTATTAACCTGCAAAAAACACACATTACACAAGAAACAAAGGGATGCATCCGAATAATAGAGATTAATAAATACGCTTGTAAATTTCCGCGAGTTCGTAAGCCATAAGGTGGTGCTACTGCCTCTCCTGTAAACGACAAATTTACCTGTCATAACCAGAGGCAAATGTTTTTAACTTGAATATTAAGATTTTTATGTTTTTTTATATAAATGGGGTGCTCCGGCTCTTTATTATAGTCCCAGATTTGCCTGAAATTGTAGCCTAAAAACATTGCTGAAATTGTAGCCTAAATATTGGGCGGAAAAAAATTTTTTCCAAGTTATTTTTTGACAATTTTGGCCCTCAGCCTGTTTTTCAAAGTGAAAGTCGCTACTTGCTGCAATAAGAAAGTCAGGTTAGCGGAAGCCAGGTGTTTATGTCTTTGCAGAACAGCGGAACAAATACCGAGCATTTTTTCCGTGCTTGCAGCAGGGAACAAATGCTCGGCATCGTCCATTTTTAGTCAGCCCACTCGACCTGAAAGTATGCTTTCAACAGATATCACGGCAATGAAAAGCGCGGGTATCTTTCAATTTTGGTTTTGGTATCATTCACACTTGTTCATTTCACTGTAACTGTTTCGCGATACTAAATAGCATGCAGGAAAGATAAAGGACAGTGATTCCGAAGATTTCGTTAGTTCAGGCAGCTCAAATAATCGTTGGAAAACCTCTTTAGCGATATGTGTGATGATTTATAGAAAAGAGATAAAAAGGCCAATTAGGTATTTCGATCCATTTATTTGCGCAGTTTAAGATCACTGTTTTTAATCACTCATTTTTTGTCATCATTAAAATAACTTTCAGAGCCCTCAAATCTTGTTCAAGTCAACATTTCATAAAAAAAGTGGCATAAAGCCTTCGCATCGATTATTTCCTGACTGTCATTGCACAGGGCGTTAAAAGCATTTATAAACGCTTTTAAGGCCCTGGGCAAGCGCAGTGAAAGATTGTGAAAGTTTTACTTGGTGTGAAATAAATATAAATATTTATTTCACACGAAGCAAAACTTTCACGAATATGTTCTCTAAACGATTTGAACACCTTGTGCTGGTTAACATAAATTAGTTGAAATGAAACGGAGATAAAAATCGAGAATATGTCTATTATATTTGTGTAGTTACAAATTGAAACATTCACCTTTTTCTTTTTTATCACAGAGGTCCTTTACAATCAGCTGGGCGAAATTGTCGCCAAAGGTAAGCGACATATGTTATCAAACCTCATGGGATAACTTATGCGGGAAGGTCGGTCATTCTGGATAAAACTAAGTCAAAAATACGTCACAGAACACCGATTACAGCGCAACTGAAGCAGTTTTGTTATTGAGGAAAAATGCATAAATCGCCATTACTCGGCCCCCGGTATTACGAATGTCAAAATTATATTTCAGATTGATGCGCCAAGATAGCCACAAGAGCGCTTTCAAAATAGCGCTGAATCCCCTCCTTTCCGTCGCGTTCGGTTTAAGGAGGGAATCGTCAAGTATTATACAGAGATCTCAAAATTTCCGCGCTTTCTGCAAGCTTTACCCCAGCAGGCAAAATTGCTGCCGGCGTTACCTCCGAAGTGGCACACACAAGGCAGACGAATCTTCCGAGCACGACGTAACACAGAGTGTTTTTTTTCCGCGTCACTACACCTTTCCAAAAAACGCTCCTAGGCCGCCGCCATGTTGCTGATGCTGATGCGGTTGGTGCGACTCTCGCGCCCCCTATGAGCTAGAAATTTTCTCCCACCCTCTGGGACTGTGAAGACCCACTCAGCGCGGTTATCTACCTACGTTTTTGCGGTTTTGCATTCGACGTTTTCTCGCCCCTCTTGAAAGTTTCCACTTAATTTTTTTATGCGTGCTGCGTACCCTTTCTGCGTTAACTTCCATTGTGAGAAATAAGGCTGGTAAGTGCCTGCCATTCAAGCTTTTCTGCTCGACATTCACGGGAAACGAAGGAGGTGAAGGACGTCGAACGACCCTCGACGCGATTTTGCAAACATTGTTCTCCCCCCTCCCAGAGATAATCCGCATAGAATCCTCAGTCATCTCCAAAAATAGTTGTCCGGGGTGGGGTGAGAAACGGGTCAGTCGCGTTTGTTTCTTTGCCTTGGTGCGGTTGTGAAAAAAATAAGTTCTCCCCAAAACGTGCCCCAAAACGAAGACACCTCGGATTCCGTCCGATCGTCAAGATGTGACTGTCGTCGACTGTGACTGTGTTATTTGAGGTCTTTCTCAAATAAATTATTTTTGGATAACGCTGCATCGTGTGGTACGTACGATATATTGTTTGAATGTTCACACTTCCCCAATTGTATGTCCGTGTCCTGTCCATCGGTAAACACGTTATTTGTGAGCGTGAAAAATGCATGACTTTCGGCCCTCTTCTGTTGCAATTTATTTTTGACAGCAAAGCGCTTTGTCGTTTCACATGCGGTGAATCTCGCGGCTCCGTCAAAACTTATCGTAAGAAAAAAAAAAATAACTAGAACTATACATTCCAGTCGCATTCGTTCGGTCGCGCGCGTACCCAACAAAAATAGTTTACAGCTTGTTTTTTTTTTGTTGTTTTTTTTGTTTTTTCAAATGTGGCACAGTGCTTTCTCAATGTCCTCGGGAACATACATGTACCATGAAATACAAAATATAGCGGGAAAATACGAGAATTTAGCCGCCAGCAGCGTTTGAAACTGCGCCTACGCAGGCTGCGCCTATTGAGATCACAGTCCACTCGGTTAGGGTTAGGAGGGACGCCGGTGAGAGTCTAGCCTCAAACTCAGTGACTGGGCTCGAAAAAGGGTTTGTTGCCCCTGGGGTTGAGTGTTTTTTGGAAAGGTGTATAGATGTGTTTGGGTCAAATGCTGGCGATATTTAAAATCACGGATGCAAAAATACGTCAGAAATCACCACTAACTTGTCCTTACTCCAAACCATATTCAGCGCCCCTTTAAGACTGCATCCGCTTCATGAGTGTCTCAATTTTAAATTATTAAAATTTTGTATCCTCAGTTAAGTACGAAAAATTAGGCCGCATTCTTCTGGATAGCTTAATGCCCCTAATTGTGTCAACTGTCCACACTTTGAAAAAAAAAATTAATGCATTCATTGACAGTTATCTGCAATAGAGAGGTTTCTTTTTTTTCTTTTTTGCTTTACTTTTTTTTCTTTTCACATAAACCACAAAGCAGACACTGGTTGAGCATGGCTAAAATTGCGCGCAAATAGAAAGGAACAGAGGAGAGAGAAGAAACAACTTTATGCTTTGTTCCTTTCATTTTGCACGTAAATTTAACCATGTTCAATATCACCAACTCGCCAAACTAACCACCTTGTTACAGACAATACTTCCTTAAGGAAAAGTTATCTTTTTTATAATATTTTTAGCAATCTTTAAAATCTCGAAAGTAGAGGAAGGATCATTGCGCTCATCTTAAATTTACTTCTTCAAGATGTTTTTACGCACCGCAAGTTCACCTTCCAGAGGAGATTAAATAAATTCTTCTGGCAAACTCGCAGGCCC